AATGGCATGCAGAGATGTGGTTTCAGATTTTGGCAGCACTTAAAATTCTTAATTTTGTTCCTGTTCAAAGCAAGCACAGTGTCACTGGTAGGAATCCTGACCATTATACTGGTGAGATTTTTCTCAAATTGACATAAGCCCAGAGTCATCTGGGATGAAGGAACCTCAACTGAGAAAATGCTTCCATGGGACTGGCCTGTAGGCAAATCTGTGGGGCATTTTTGATTAATAATTAATAATAATAATCACTGTGGGTGGCACCACCCCTAGGCAGGTGGTCCTGGGTTCTATAAGAAAGCAGGCTGAGCAAGTCACAGAGAGCAAGTCAGTAAGCAGCACTCCTCCATGGTCTCTGCTTCAGTTTCTACCAGGAGTGCCTGCACTGGCTTTCTTCCTGATGGACCACAAACTATAAGATTAAATAGACTCCAGCCAGGCTGGTTTTGGTCACGGTATTTTATCATAGCAATAGAAAACAAATGAATATGGCCATGGTCTGTAGCTGCCAGTGAATGGCTAATCCCAGAGGCAAACAGATATTTTTTTAACCTTCTCCATTGTCCTTGCCCCCTCTGACCCACAGGGACTCTCTGGTAGCACATCCCCAGTGTCCCATGGAGCTTTGCTCTGGCTCCCCAGCTTCCCTGGGCTCCAGCACCACCCTCTCCCCACCAAGCACTGGGCCTGAGGAACCTTGAAGGCTACTTTTTTGCTTTTACTTCTTCATTGTGGAACTGGGACCAGGAATATCATAACAATGTGGGGCTTGTAATTTCCTGCTTCAAAAACTGACAAAGCTTCCAGGGAGTCGCTGAGATCCCACTCGGCTTTCATTGCACAGAACAGAAAACAAGCATGTGCCCAGTGGCTTTCTCAGGATACCAATCTCCCCACCCTCCCTCCCATCCTTCTGTAGGTGTTCCCAGCATGGTTCCCTGAGTGGTAAAGCCATTGTGAGGAACTGTGAGCAAAGCCTGACAATGTGACCACAAAAATCTGCGTTAAAAGCAGCTCTGGGAGGCTTGGTAGGTTAAGTGGTAGCAGTTTTCAAAACAAAAACATTTAAAATTGGTTTAAAGGCAGCAACTCATTAAAAGGTCACCTTCAAATGAACTGGGGGCAGGATCAACCCCATGAACAACAGGGCAAAAGAGGTTCCCCAGGAAATCAAAGCAAACAGCCCAGGGTGAAAGTTCAAATTCAGGAGCACAGGTGATCTCCTGGCTGGCCAGGATGGACAAGGTGACCTAGAATCACCCTTTTGCATTCCTGCAGGAGAACCAACAGTGCAAGCCTTGTCCAGGCCTTCAGGAGCACATCCTCTAGGCTGTATGCCTGGGAGCAATTCTGACTGCAACACCCCAGGAAGGAGACCCGAGGTAGAAACTTCTAGATAGGCAGAGCACCTGCAGCAGGAAGAGGAACATGGAGGTAAGAAAAGAGGCTGGGGTCTTAGGTCTAATCCTGAATACCAAACCCAACCACAAAACCCCAAGCAACTTTTGAGAAGGAACAATTTCTGCGCACCTAAGATAGCAGCCCCACACCTCGCAACAGCCTGGGGGCCACTCTGGTTTCCCTAGAACTTTGTGCTCATACTCTGGGTGCGACAGGGACCCAGTGCAGCCACACCTGAGCAGGAGTGGGGTCATTCCTACTTTGGTCCTACCCCATGATTGAGAAGGTCAGCTAAAGCCGGGTGGTGGTGGTGCACACCTTTAATCCCAGCACTCAGGAGGCAGAGGCAGGCGGATATCTGTGAGTTCGAGGCCAGCCTGGTCTATAAAGAGCTAGTTCCAAGACAGGCTCCAAAGTTACAGAGAATCCCTGTCTCAAAAAACAAAACAAAAAATCAGCTAAATCCACAAGAGCAGGCCTGTGTGGAAGGAAGAACAAAACAAAGCACACTCAGGACACAGTCGGGGTTGGTACCAACCTGCAACATTCTTGTCCCAGAAAAACGTGTCCCCTAAGCACAGGATAAACTGCTCAAGGCCAATAGATGGCTTAGTGGGGAAAGCCTCTAACTGCCATGCTTGGTGACCTGAGTTTGAACTCTAAGATCCACGTAGTGGAAGGAGAACCAGTTCCCACAAACTGGTCTCTGACCTCTAACACGCACACAACATACCTCTAACATACACATATGTATGTACACACACAAGCACACTTGTACACATACAACCAATCTCCAGAAACAGCTAAGAAATGCCACAGACAACAGAGTAGGCAAAGTCCATGCACACCCCAATGCCCAAGGATGAATTTAAACCTTAAGACTACTATTCTCAGAGAAATGGAAGGCTTAGGCCAAAACTGAAATAAAGAAAATCCTTGGCCTACAGCATCAGCACCTTAGATGCCATAGGGAAGATGAGCCATCGAAATCTGCCCAGACCGAAGCAGGGCAGAACAGAAGCCTGAAGAGGAGCAGAGGGCGGCAACCTGAGGGCCAGCAGACCAAGCCAGTCACACCGGAGTCAGACTGTAGAAGTGGGTAGGAGCTGGGGATGTCCCATGCTGCACAAAATAATAAGTTCAACAAGAATCAAGCCCTAAACAGAACATACACACACACCAAATCACAGAAAACAAGAGATTTAAAGAAAAAGTCTCAGCAGCAGCAGGGAGGTCCCCAGGGCCCAGTAGAAAGATGTGTGTATTCTCAGTGGTAGCCACCATCAAGGGCAGGTGATAGGCACAAAGAAATCCTGAGCCTGGATGCATCCACTACATCTGAGATGCGGCAGAACCTGTTTGCTGGAAGTGGCCATGTCATGCAGGACAGTGGGCTGTCAAAGGACTGGCAACCAAGACCCACACTGGAACCCTCCCCTGCTGAAAGATGGAAGTCACCAGGAAGACACCCACTGGGTGCTATTAAACTCCAATGTCCCTACAGCAGGTAAGCATGTAGCACAGAAGCCCAGAAAAGGCAGCACCTAGAAACCAGAGCCATCCTCATCCCTGGCGTGCCTCTAGCTCCTCCTAGTGACAGAGTTCAGCACTGTGCTTGCAAGAAAACAAATGTTGAGGGCTGTCTCCAGGGTAAGATGTGCCCAGGGGGAGCGAAGGGGGAGACACAGCAGAGATGACACCTACAGGCCAGAAGCAAGGCAGTGAAGCCTGAGTAATCTAGAACTGTATCTAAGAAGACAGGAGCTGCGGAAGCCATTCAATGGGATGTCCAAAGTTGAGACAGTTGAGGCCCAGAGCTCACACAATGTCTGATCAGAGTGGACTGTGGACTTAAAGGAGAAATGGCCAGAAGCCTCTTAGAAAAAAAGTCAGAGAAAAATCTTCAGGATCTAGGGATGAAGAACTCTCACACTAAGCATTGAAGCAAGGTCAGGGTGCTGGAGAGGTGAGATGGCACATGGAGGTTCTACTGCAGACAGCTTACATAAGGGACTTGGGCATCTACAGATCCTGGGAGCACTGGGATCAACCTCCTGCAGACATTGACTCTTCCCTGTGGACCAAATAGCAGGAACTTGAAGGCTCGTGGCATTTTCTTACCAGCTAACATATTTAAACCATCTAATGTAGCACGAATTCTAGTTGATTTTAATAAAACTCAGAGTCAGATATAGGGGTTAATGCAAAAGAAACAGAGGCCAGCCACTAAATGCTCAGCCCAATGGGGGGCCATCCTGTCCTCAGACTGCATCTCCAGACTATCTCCACCAATCTTCAACTGCACTGAGCTCCTGTCTCCTTCTGCCTTATTTTCCTCTCTCTGCCCAGCCATATCACTCCTGTCTCCACCTCCTTAGTGCTGGGATTAAAGGCGTGCGATCCCAAAAGCTGGGATCACCTTTTTGTGAGCTATTCTTTTAGATAAATTCAATTTTATTTAGCTCAGGGTGGCCTTGAACTAACAGAGATCCCGCTGCCTGTCTGACTCCTGGGATTAAAGGTGTGTGCCACCATTCCCTGGACTCTAGTGACTTAGCTCTGCACCCGGATCTTCAGGAAGCTTCGTTAAAACATAACACTATATTTCAGTGCCTGTGGATAGACTAGATTAATATTTTCATACACTCAAGACATTAGCAGTGTGTATATCTCAGAGGCTTCAGCAAACACAGTCGAGTACCACAGGGTAAGCAGAAGTCAGTCTGGCCACCAGCGTTAGTACAAGAGAATGTAGGGTCTCAGCAGCTGGCAAATGTCCTATTCCTGAGGGCACCTTCACATACGTGAATCCAAGCGGTTAAATTCTAGCCCATACATTCCACATGCACTTCAGCTTAAATAGCCACGTAACGTTTTTATTTTAATTCCTTTCCAACTATTTAAAACCTAGAAATCCTTAGGCCACAGACCAGTTTGCAGATCCATTTCTTTTTTGAGACAGGTGTCTCTGTGTAGCTTTGACTGTCCTGGAACTTGCTCTGTATACCAGGTTGGCTTTGAACTTACAAGAGATCCACCTGTCTCTGCCTCCTGATTCACTCTGGGACCAGACACCTCAGCACTCACGAGGCAGAACGAGGCTAGCTCCTATACAGGAGGGCATGCCCTGCTCCATGTGCACCTGCCCAGTCTCACCTTGAGAGAAGAAATAAAGCACCTGCATATAAGCAAGGCAGCAGAGCTGCTGGCAGCCACAAGACTTTACTGCATGCCATGAATGCACTGGGTGTGTGCCCACATGGTGGCCCGAGAATGATACTGGGTGCTGCCTTCTTCTGCTGTCCATCTTGAGCATCTGAAAGCTCACCATTTAGGCTAGGCTCAGCAGCCAGCAAGCTCCTGTGATCTGCCCTGGCCTGCAGCTCCAGTATTAGGGTTTCTGTATGGGTGGGTACTTGAACTCAGGTCTTCTGTTTTCACAGCTGCTCTTATTCACCAAGCATCTACTGGGGCTGGTCTGGGACATAACATGGAAAGTAGGCAGAGCTGGGCAACACCTCTCTCTAACCACTATAAGCTAAGTCATCTCATCATATACATGTTGAATGCCTTAAGACCAGTTTTGGAGGCCACTGCTGAACATTACAGAAAGCTATGCAAAGTTTCTTTATTGATGCTGTGTTCAGTTGATCCCCTGCTGTTCTGTGGTGTGTGCAGAGTTCAAATCAAAGCAATAGACCACGACATCACTGGTCATTCCTGTAAAATAAGGCCTGGCCCAGATCACATCCTCATCTGCCCTGAAGGTAGGTCTGCTCCAGCACCAATGCCATGCCTGTTTCCCTAGGATGTACATGCTGCTCTGCTTGGCCCGGACTGAGCCCCTCACCACAAGTGGCTAAGAGTACAGAGCAATCTGCCCCACAATAGCAAGCAACTACGTGTGAGCCATGAAGTACTCCACCTGGAGAGCCCAAAGCAATGGAGGCAGGTCCTGCCCATCCTGCCCGCAGGCCTCCCTAGAGATCTGCAGAGACGGCACCATGGGCACTGACTGACGGACGCGGTGCTACAGGTCAGTGTACCCTTCAATGTGAAGGTGCTTCCATGCAGCTCTGAAGAATCATTAGCTAGGTTAACACCATGGGTGCCCCTGCAGCCAAGAGGCTGTGCTCAGTGACAAAGACGGTTGTGGAGCTAGCGGTGGGGACTGAGCTGCCATGATCTCCCTCCTTATGGATGAACCGGCAGGAGGAAGAAGAGAGAACGACCCATGAAGCCTCAGGGCTGAGAGCTGTGCCAAGTCCAAGATCAGCAACTAAGGGCTGATTGCCCCAGGCACGCCTTTTTGGTCTGTTCTGGGGACGCTGGGAGGGGGCTCCTTTGTCGTTTCTTCTTCAACTGCTGCAGTCTCTCTTCCTTCTTCTTCAGATAGGAGGTCATGTTGTCGAAGGTGGCCTTGTAGAGGCTGCGGAAACCCTCATCTGCACCAACAGTGCCTATGACAAGGACAGAACAGACGCCAGGTGAAGTGACTTGGAACACGGCCCAGCACCATTTCCTCTCACAGGATTGCCTCTGACACCTCACAGACCTTGAGGAGGCCCACATGCCCCTACCACCTGGGATCCATAGTCAGGCTGGACCACAGAATGTGGGAAGGGAAGGGTGGAAGTGGAAGGAGACAAGGTCTTGGCTGACATCTTGTCTGCACCTTCCTGTTCATTTACTGACAAAGTCCTGAACAGGGGGTAGCACAGAAGTGAGGCCTGAATCCTCCAACCATCTACTGAGTAGGGGACAGACACTGCCCAAGGGGAACCTGAGACCAGTCAGTGTCAGTCAACACCAGTGGGTGGTAGGCAGTCTACAGAGCCCACTGGAATGACAGCAGGGGGTGTGGCTCTGGGTGGTGTCGGCACGTAGCACACCCTGAGGACAGTCAGCATTGCAGGCCAGAGAGTGCCCCACGTCACCCTACCTTGAGGTGGATGTGGTTCCCTGACCTCTAGCAGCCAAGGCCACTGCTCAGGATACTCAGGCTAGCATAGTTCTCCTCCACCTCTCCATCCATCCATGCCCCCAATCTGTGTGTGGAATATCTTAGACATGAAGCCAGGCCCAGGTAACCCTCAACAGAAGCAGACTGGGCAAAGCCCAGAACAGGCCAGAGGGCAGCACAGGCAGAGAATAAGGAACTGCAGTGGGAGGCCAGCAAGATGGCTCAGAACCAGCCGCCATCCCTGACAACCTGAGTTTCACCTCACAGGAAGAAAGATTTTTGAAGAGGTTGTCTCTGGGACACAACAATTTTATCCTTAAAAGGCTAGTCAGGAATTCCCAGGGTGACCAGCCCGGGTCCACCCTGAAGTCCTAATGCAGACTCAGACTGGGTCAGAGGACACTAACCCTTTCTCACTTTGTCCTGGCAACTCGTATGTCAACTCAATATAAGTTAGAGTCATTCTGAAAGAAGGGAATCTTAACTGAGAAAGTGCCCACTAGACTGCCCTGTGGCGAGTGAGCCTGCAGGCAGGCTTCAGAGGGCATTTAGCTCACAGCTGGTACAAACACCCCTGAAATCAAGTTTTAGGTCAGATCCTGTAGACTTTAGAAACACTAACTTCTAATAAGAATTAGCTTTGCAAGATCTTTTCTAAGTAATTGTTTCATAAAAGGCTGAGTCTGGGTGGTCCTGTCTGAATGACCATTCTCTGTCCAGTAAATAAAACAGTGGACACCTGGAAGCTCCACCCCAACCAGGACACATGACCCCCACAGCCTCAATGCTTCTCACTGAACCTACAGCAGTGCATCTTCCTGTTAGCATGTTAACCAGCCTGCATCTGCTCTGGCTGTGAAGCCCCTTCGCTTCCTGCTGTCTTATCTGCATTACAGACCTAACCGAGTTCTCACCTTCCAGCATGGCCCAGTTTTCACGGAGATGGCTGCCAAGTCTCTGGGACACAGCATCTTCAGGAACAGCCTGCAGGTGACAAGTAAGCAGGGTCGGGACCAAAACCAGAGCCCAGAGATGGCAGGCAGAGCCTTAGCAGGGCCCATCCTCAGGCACAGGCTCCTTATCTCCAAGGCTAGTCATATAAACCCTTCAGCCCCAGGAGATGAGCACAGGAAGCTGCAAGAGCTCCAGGTGCTGTCCTACCTCACCCATGGCCTCATGGGATTGGCGGGGACATCCCCACACTGCTCCCCCCACCCCGCACACACGAAGGGTACACCCACATCAGGCCTAGTGCTGGCTTTACTAGTATGAGTTGGTGTGTCAGCCTGCCCAACTCCACCCCAACTCCACAGCAGGCTCAGTACATGGAGATCTCACCTGCCACCGTTCACCCACAGGCCTCCAGAGCACGAGGGGAGCGTCCCGACAGTCCTGCAGAACCCACAGCCCCCGAGTCTCCTCAAAGACGACATCCCACACTCGATGAGGGAAAGTCAGCTGCTGTCTGAACACCAGCTGTTGTCTGCTGGCATCAAGCTGGAAGATGAAGACCACAGGAACGCTTTCCAGGAGAGAGAGACTGGTCACCACTGCAACCCCAGGCCCACGGTAGCATTCCACACAACACAGCCTAGCACCAGGCCTGCCTCTACCACCCTGTAGACTCTGAGCCAGAGCCAACTGAGTCACCCAAACTCTGTAAAATGATACATGTTTGCTGTCTCGAGTTCTGGAGCAACTTGGGTTTTTTTTTGTTTGCTTTTTCCCAAAACAGGATTTCTCTGTATAGCCCTGGCTATCCTGGAACTCTCTTCGTAGACCAGGCTGCTTCTGAGTGCTGGGATTAAAAGCCAACTACCAAGAACTAACAAATACAGGACAAAGAGTGAAACGGTTGCCCTACCCTAAGTGTATATGCGTGGGTAGCAACCCCTTTGGTGGTCAAACCACCCTTCCACATGGGTAGCCTAAGACCAGGAGAAACACAGATGTTTGTTTACATTACAATTCATAACAGTAGCAAAATCATAGTTCAGAAGTAGCATTAAGAAGATTGAGAATCACTGACTAAAAGAGAGGCCAGCCTCTTCTCCAACCTATGTTCTCATTTCTAAGGAGAGCTAAGAGCTATCATAGGAGAAAATGCAGAGCACTAGAGGTTTACCCTGGCATTGAAAAGGGGCAGAAGGTCCCCACTCAATTACACCCTGCTGCTCAATCTGCTCTGTGGTGCCAACTCTCGGACAGATTCCAGCAGGATCATTTCTGAGAGGAACTGGCCTGTGGAATCTCCTGCAACTGTTCCATCATGGATACGAGCTCCCAGCTACCCTTTAGATAATTAAGTACAAAGGGCAGATCAGAGGACCCCAGCCCGCCTCCCTAAAGAGTACTCGGCAGAGTTAACAGTCACCACATTTTCATCACTTGAAGACACAGCCACAGGCCATGACAGTAAAACTTCTCATCTTACCACTCACACAGAAGCACCACATAGCTCTCTTGTCCCCAGAATGCAATCCTAGATGCGGCCAATCCCTGCAAGAAAAAGAAGCCGCTTAACCAGGCTCTGCTGACAGGTCACCTATGCCCTTCTCATGTCACCAGAGGGGAAGGCCACCGGCATCATAGTTCCCTCATAGTGTCAAAGCAGGTGTGACCCTGGCTCTCCCTGCAGGTCTGTGACTGTCTCCAGAGCAACAGAACAGGTGGGAAAGCAGGGACTGTAATCAGAGACAACTGTCCTATGGGCTTCCATGCTTCCCAAACAAGAGGTGATACACGCAGAAGTTTCTAGAAGTCCCAAGTTTCACAATGTGTGGGAAAAAGCACCTGCTGTTCAATGGCTGGCCTGGCAGACACCATGTCACCCAATTTTATGACAGATAGCTATGAAACCCAGGAATATCCCTGATACCAGAGGAAGCATGGATACAGCAGGTGCCAAGAGGCACTTATGAGCACAGAATGCTGGGGTACCCCCCACCCACAAAACATAGGTAAAGCTCTATGCCAACACTCTTTCATGTCCATGTGTGCCTGGAGGCCTCCCTGTGAGGTGAGATGTGAATTACTTTCCATCAGGTGATCACACGCCTTCAAAACAAAGTCAGACACTGACAGCAAGGCAATGCTTCTCACAGATGACTTCCCACAATCAGAGCAATAGGAGGTGCTCGGCTCCAGTACCAGAGTTGAGCATGGAATTACCTTGTGGCCTTGATGCTCTGCAGGCTCCTGTAGGCTGGCCAGGTCACAGCATTGCAGCTGGCAGCCACTTCTATACTCCCAGAGTCTCAGGGTGCCATCCTGTGCACAGACAAAAGGGCTCATGTGGCCTGTCCCGGAAGCAAGAAAGGCTGGGGGAAGAGAGTGGAAACACAGGACACCAAGCATGGCTGCATGTGGCCAGCATCCCCACTGACATCTGGGGCTCACTCCCTTATGTCTCAGCAGAGTACCAACAGCTAACCAATTAGGCAATGGAGCACCTAGGAAAACCTCTGTGAAGACAGGCCAATCAAGACATACAGCCGTGGCACAAGGGACAAAGGAGCCAATATGGCCAGACTCCCCTGCTAATCCACTTACAATGTCCACTGTGCTGGGACCAGGCAGGTGAACACACATGTGCACACAAACCATATATACAGCTGTGAAGGAGGGGAGCACTCAGAGCCAGGAAGAAGCTCCCTCTAGTGGCACCCTAGCTAGGAACAAGAGGCTGGGGGGATATTTTCTTCTGAACAGCACTGACGACCCCAGGAAACACAGCACTTACCCCAGATGAGGAAAGCAGCAGCTCAGGGTGACTGGGCACAACAAAGATGCGGCTCACAAACCTGTGGGAAGCAAAGATAAGTCACAAGGAATGTCTCAGAAAAGAAAAACACTGCAGACCCAACCCATCCCAGCAGGTCTGAGAACATGGCTGGGCACTTTTGATCCCCAACATTCTATCTGGACCAAGGGTGGCAGGGCCCAGTTCTGCTGGAGCGCTGTAAGACATGCAGCTCCTCACGGGGACATTACCTCACTCTGCCCCACACACCTGCCTCCATTCAAGGTCAGCACAGGAAGGAGAAAAATCACACTACTTTGCAGCCAAAGCAGACCCCAAGGGAGCTCTATGTGGCCAGTCCAGTACTGGTGACTCAAGGAACCCAACCGAAGGCGTCTATCCACCAATCTCAGCCTAGCTCCACAGCCTCTAAATGCAGAGTGAAACCACTCTGCCACCAGAAGTGCACCTGCACATGCTGGCTCTCCAGGAATTCCCACATCTACTCTGCAGTCCTTCTGGCCAGGAACATGTATGTCTCTAGCACCTGCCAAGCAGCAAGGTTGCTCTTCTACCAGCTCTTAACGGAAACCGTGTTATCATTCATAAGACCCAGGACTCCTACGACATGCTGGGCCTGATGGCTCCCTCCATCCCCATCACCCATCACACCAACAGCAAGCCCCCACCCTGACTCAGGCCTGACTTGCAGCTGGTCTTTGACTAACAGCTGCCATCTCTTAGGATGCCTAGTTCTAGTCTTAGGTCATCCAAGAGGAATAAACTGTGGATTCTACAAGCCAAGTCACCCCCAGTTCTTAGCAGGTAAGTGGGAACTAGTCCCCACAAGCTGAACTAAACAGATATCATCACAGAAGGCCACAGAGGGGTCCATTCTCTGGCAATGCAGAAATCTAAAATCTAATAGGAATTGTTCATTCTGAAGTCGTGGTATTCAAGTGACAGAGGGTGGAGGGGAAACCCCCTAAGGAAGCAGGCAGCATCAAGCATAAAGCAAGGAAGAGGAGCAGAGGGCAACCTCCCAAGCACCATTCCTGTACCAAGAGTGCATTCCAGCTGGGCAGATGGTCAGAATTCACCAAGTCCACTGAGATGCAGTGACGAGGACATGACTGAGGGTAACAAAAACTCAAGACCTGGAGTATGGGACAAGTAGAAGTCCAAACCAAATTTCACCAGTCTTCTCTCCAAGGCGAACTTTTGTACCCCACTCAAACAGCCAAGAGCCCGCTCAGAATGGAATTTCAGTCCTTCAGGTTTCCTACTGTCTGCAATAATGCTCTTTCCGTTCTCAACAGCGCACTACTCAAGGCCTCCTGGCTGGGGCTCCTGCCAGGAGAGCACAGGTGCAGATAGGCCTAGGGACCCAGTCATTTAGCTCCCAACAGACCAAGTGCTTAAAGGATGTTCCTCAGACTCTTCCCGACTACCTGCAGCCACCAGGCACTGGTCACCAGGCCCAGAAAGAGTTTTCAATGTGAGACTGTAGGAAAAGGGCTGAGGAGCAACAGCCCCGGAGGCAAGCTCAGAGCAACTGCTTCACACAGCCTACAGCCCTAGATGTCCATAGCTGTCACAACTGAGGCATGGACCCAGGAGGGCTTTCTGAGTCTCAGGTAGCTCTTAGCATGAAGCCCCTAAGTCTACCAACAGATACCAGAGTCCTGGCCCACCCTCATCGTCAGACCCAGACTTCTCTGACTGAGGAGGGGACAGGATCACACTTACTCTGTGTGTCCCAGGCAGAAAGCCTCGATATTGTGCGGAGCAGCAGCCCAGCTGACCCGGATCTTCTCATCCCGGTCCGCAGTGAGCACAAACAGGTCATCAGGACTCATGGCCTACATCACCAGGGGTCAGTAGAAGAAGAGCCGCTCACTGGGTGGCCTTGCAAAGTACCATGAGAATGCTTGGATTTTGAAGGCCCCTTTCAGGGAGCTGCAGTGCAGCTTGGAAGAGCAATGGGAAGTGTCAGCCCAGTTCACATTACTTAGCTTAAATGAGGGCCAGAGCCACACTTCTATACACGGAAACCAACTCCAATGCCACTCACCCATACCCGCTGCACCCCTCCCCTCTCCACACTGTACAGCAGCACCAGAGTCATGCCAGGCACTGCACACAGCCTTTGATTCCACTCCACTTCAGTCTGTCCCAGTTCTACAGGCTGGAGGCCAGGGCCCTGGCTACAGCAGACAGTGTTGTATGCCTCCCACCGCCACCACATACCACATCTAGCAGCATGGAGAGGTGTCCAAGTTCCAGCCTGCCACATCCATCAGGCTCTGAGACCGAGAAGGAGTAGACATCTCCAGACTTATCAGCCACCAAGAGCCGATCCTCTGAGGCTGTGAAAGTCAGAGCAGTGCACCTCCGCACTACAGTCCTGCAGAACCAGAGAGGTGAGCTGGTTAGTGCCCAAAGTCAGCACAGACCTCCACCTACCCTCAAGCCAGAGAGAAGGCCCTCAACTTAAAACAGCTAGACTCAAATACTCTGACTTTACCACAGTGCAAAGGTGTACCCACACACCCAGCTCACTTTTAGTGAACACTTGACTGAATAATCACTGGGACTGTAAAGCAGGCCTTTCCCTTCCCTTACACGGCTTTGTTCAGCTGTGGTTCTGAACACATTTGAAAGGTAGAGGTAGTCTCAGATGCTCCACTGGGGTAGTTGGTGCATGGTTTTATTAAAGATTTCATTTCATTATGTGTGTGAATGTTTTATTTGTCTGTGCACATGCATTCATGGTGCCCTCAGAGGTCAGAAGAAGGTGTCAGATCTCCTGTTACTAGAGTAATAGACTGCTGTGAGTCACCATGTGGGTTCTGGGAATCAAACCCAGGACCTCTGGAAGAGCAGCCAGTACTCTTAACCCACTGAGCCATCACTCAGTGCATTTTTAACCTAACCGCAGTTCTGATTTAGGTCAGCAGCACCCACTCTATATGTGGACTCAGTGTCTGCACCACAGAAGGCGGTGTTCACAACATAAAGCCAATGTCCTCAACCTATTAAACTTTTATAATTCCCTCTCCAAAAAAAAAAAAAAAGACATAAGAACTCTGAGTTTGAGGTCAGTGAGTTTCGGGACAGTCAGGGCTATATACAAAGAAACCCTGTCCCCCCCCACCAAAAAAAACCCTAAAACTAAAAGGCATGCTGGCAAACACCTGTAATCCCAGCTCCTGGAGGCTAAGAAAGGAGGACCGAAGCTCCAGGCCTGTCTCATGAGTACTTGCTATAAAATACACCAGCTTTGCTGCGCATTTGAAAAGCTCGTAATAAAATGCTGAGGAAACTGTTCCCTACCCCTCTGCTGCTCAGATGAAGGAGACAGGATCAGCTATGCTACAAAGCATAAGCTCTCTGGAGTCCAAGCCTTGAGTCCCCCTAACCAGCAGGCCCACCAGGCTCTACCCAACCCACCACCTGTGATCCTGCTGCTAGGCCTGTGTCTAGAGTCAGGAAGCTCACAGGTACTATAAGGATGCTGTGCCCCTCATACTCAGAGCAGTGTGGGCCACGGGCAATACAGGACAACTATGGGACACCTCAATCCCCAGTAGAAGTTACAGGGACAGCGTGGTGCACCACCTAAGTGTCAAATTCAACTCATTAACAGCAATCCTTGGTCCAGGTCCCACAACGAGTACCAGCTGCAAACCGATTCAGTTAAGAGGTAGTGCTGTGAGAGCTCCTTTGGCTATAACTAAGATAAACTGCCCATGTGGGCGTGGTTTCTTATGCTATAAATGCAGCTGTATGTAAAGTGTGTGCTTCTGGCTCTCACTTCCAGCTGCTAGACTCTGTTCCTGTTCCCCGTTCATGCAGAGGACGGTGATCTAGGACAGTGATCTGTGACTCTCCCCTAAATAAATAACCCTTGATTATACGTAATTCTGAACTAGTGTGGAATTATTTTGTAAATTCCACCATCATCTGGCGCCCTAACATGAGGTCCAGTCTACACTTTTTGGGATCGGCACTGACTCCCACCTGCAGCTCTAGCCAGCCCTCAGATACAGCAGGCTGCCTCACAGAGCTTCCCGGCTCACGACCCACACTGCTTCTCTGTGTGTTACACACCAGCTCACACACTGCTGCCTGCAGTCCCTGCGATGCACAACACAGTTAGCAACTCGCACTGACGAAAAACTTTCGATTTTCTCTCAGAATCATTTGGTCGCCTTAATAACTGCTCTTAATTTGTTAAAGCGTATTTTTCAATCCCTAAGTAAACAATTTGTGTTGTTCACTGCTGCTAGCGTCTCTTGACCATGTGGCTGCAACTGTGACACCTGCTGGCCGAAAATGATTATTACACCTACTCCAATTCATTGTAATTGCTTTATGACGTGTGAGATCTGAAAAACTACAAAAAAATGACTGATAACATTCACGAGTTCAATAATTATTTTGCTTATGCTATGGAAGGTATTCTGTAAGGTTTACGTGATATTCCTTCTGAAGGGTCTGAAGACAAGAATAAAAATATAGAAATAGAAATATAGA